CCCACCCAGTTTTGTTCAATAAAGAGGCTTTGTTGTAATGAACACATGTGTCTTTTAGTGTACAGCGGGAAAGGGGATTAGGGAGGGGTAAGTGGAAGGACGTGAGGGAGGAATGAGGCACAAGCCCCCAGTGGGACACGCCAGGGAGACTGTTACTGCCTGTAGAACGTGCTGCCAGATTTGCAGCAACAAGTCCAGGAGAAGCACCAGAGTGCCTAGGGGCAGCTCCGTCTCCATGCTGCAGAGTGCTGTGGTGAGGGCAACCAGAGCACGCAGAGAAAAAAATGCTTTGGTGTCCCTCAGTGAGATAGGCAAGCAAGCAGGGAAACCTTAGAACCGGCTATCCGGAGAGGTCCCTTTAAGTACAGGTCTCAGATACCTTGTGTGGCTACTGCCTGAGGCTAACTCCTGACTTGATGCCCTGCTGGAACTGGTTTCGGCTAGCCTTAAATGCAATTCAGAGTCCTCTCTATGTGGATGCGCTATTTCAAAATAGCAAAACGCTTTTTCGAAATGCATTTTGTGTGTAGACACGTTATTCTGAAATAAGCTATTTTGAAATAACTTTCAAAATAAGATATTTCGAAATAATGCTGTAGTGTAGACATACCCTTAATTCAAAATAAGCTATTCCGGAAGAAGTACTCCAAAATAGCTTATTTCAAAGTAGCACATCTACACTACAGGGGAGCCTCAAATTTAGTCTGAGGTAGTCTCCCCTTATGTGGATATGCTACCTCAATTTAGAGACCCAGGAGGCACTGGGGAATAATTAGTTTGAATGGCCCTGGGGAGGACCTATTTCAAAATAGCAACAGTAGAGTGTCCACACTACTGTTATTCCGAAATAGCTATTTTGGAATAAGCGTTATTCCTTATAGAATAAGGTTTACAGAAGTCGGAATAAGCCTTTGAAATTATTTCAAAATAACAGAATTGCTGTGTAGACGCTCGCATTGTTATTTCGGAATAATGGCCGTTATTCCAAAATAAAGCCATTGTGTAGCTGCACCCTGGGTATCCCTCTACTGTTACTAGGGAAGCACTGGAGGATCTTCTTCCTGGCTTCTAAAATGTGATGGGGACTTGTCCCTCTCCTGTCAGAAACAGGGCTCTATCCCTCTCAATCTTTTGTACCCCATTAAATCAATAGAGGGAGAGTCCTTAAGATTCTCTTATTCCTTGATGTGAGAAGTATATTGCATTCCCTTGTGCACGGGCTCTCCCACACTCATCCCTCACACCCACATCAGGGATTCACCAGTTTACCCAATGTGTAAAGCCCGTTGTGATAATTATCTCATGTTCGGTCTATTCCATCAAGGACTTTAATTGGAACACTGCCGACTCTGAAATTATGGAATAGCCAGACTGAGGAATGTTGAAGAAAATAGATCCCACAGTTTGGGAACCACTTTGTCTCCCCAGCTTGTAAATAAATCTTTTAGGGTAACTTTGCAGGCAGCCTGTTTGTCACGTGTCGAGTATAAAGGTTGCATTGCAGAATTAATCCACTATAGTTCTTTTGGCTATATATTAGTAAATTAAATCCCCTAATGTTATTAGAAGACAGATATCAAGTGTAATCAAAGTTACCAATTGTCTTCTGACATTAAATCATATAATGGAATTCTTTTTTTTTTTAAGGAGTTCTCTGGAACTTGTCCTCATGTGATGCAGTAAAGATGACAATCATTCGAGATGCTCTATCAACACTAACACACACTTTGATAGTTCCACATTCTGGATGGAATAATTCTTCCTTTGATGATGATCATAAAATTAAATTCCAGGCTTCCCAAGTTCTGCGCAATACTACAGGATGCCTGAGGTAAATCAGTATGTTCAAGATCTCTTAACATAGTTATACAACAAGGTATTCAAATTATTTTTAAATTGAAATTTATTAAACAAAATAGTTGCTATATCCTTTTTCATTGTTTAGTTCTTCCCCCCATGCCAATTATTACAAAAGATCATACATACAAAAAAGGAGCTCAGAGGTACAGTTTTATGAATGTCTCTTTTCTGTTACTGCCGCTACTTGTTAAGGGATAACCTTCTACTGTTTTTGTGCTCATAAGTAATCTTCTCCATATGAATTAGCCACCACTGTCTTGATTCTGAAGGTACTATCAATTAAACTTATTCATTCAAACCATGAATTAACTTGAATAAAGCTATCACCACAAAAATCATGTGATACTATTCATATTAGCAGGGCTCGACGATCGTGGTGAAAGCCACTCACCAGCCCTGCACCGCCAGTGAATGGGGTGACTGGCTGAAATCTACTCGCCATAGGCAAGTAGATAAGTATATTTGTTGAGCCCTGAATATTAGTACAGGTTGGACCTCCCTGGTTCAGCACCCTCGGGGCCTTACTGGTCCCAGATGAGGAATTTTTCTGGACCAGGGGTGGTCATTTCTTGCCCTCCTACTGCTAGCTCCCCTTCTGCCCTCCCCCTGCCCCCCGCGCAGGCTTCCTGGCTCCCCCTGAAGCCAGGCTGAGGCACACACTAGCTCCTGGACACCCCTACCCCCTGCAGCCCAACTTAGCTGTGTCCTCCCTCTCTCCCCCCATATAGTGCTGGGCTCCTCTCCCACCCCTTCCCCCTGCAGCACCGTGGGATTCTTTGATCCTGGAACGGACCAAAGAGTCCAGAAATCAGACCAGAGAATTCCGCTTTATAAAGGTGCAACCTGTAATAAGGTTTTATCAAATCTAAAAGGAGTTATGAAAGATGAAAAATAATTTGAATTCTGAAAGCAAATGCAGCTTCTTAGAAGCATTTATTTTTAATTAAAAATGTAAGCAGGAAAATTATTAGTGCTTAGTTAGATTGTTTGCTGTCAGTAATGTTTAAATACAGTACTCAATGTGCAAACATTAAATGGATGCTAGCAAGTTAAAGATTGTTCTATTGAATGAACTTTTTTACCTGCTGTTACAAATATCTGAGATCCCTATCAATGAAAGCAATTAAAGACAAATATGTTTTTTCAATTTTTTTATCTATTTACTTATAGCATTTTACAACACTTTACGTCTAGTTAGTTTCACTGTTTCTTGTTTAAAGATTGTGGGTGTTTCAAACAACAACAAAAAGGCTTAAGAAAGGACATTTTTAAAAATAGGAAACCCTAAATTCATCAAAAATGACAGAGAATTCAGGGTCCATGTATAATACCCAAGACTACTTTGATCTTTTCTAAACATATTTTAACTGGTTAGGTTCCAAATTAACTGTTTCTTCATCCTACATATTTGGTATTCAGTGCTCAGATAGAAGGAGGATTTCAATGAGCGGGGCCAACGGTCTCCACTGACCCTGGGGCAGTTGGTGGGGACACTCTGGGTACGTCTAGACTACATGCCTCTGTCGCCAGAGGCATGTAGATTAGGCTACCAGACATAGTAAAATGAAGCGGCGATTTAAATAATCGCCGCTTCATTTAAATTTACATGGCTGCCGCGCTGAGCCGACAAACAGCTGATCAGCTGTTTGTCGGCTCAGCGTGATAGTCTGGACGCGCGGGTGTCGACATCAAAGGTATTTGTCGACCACCCAGGTAAGCCTCCTGGGATGAGGTTTACCTGGGTGGTCGACAAATACCTTTGATGTTGACACCCGCGCGTCCAGACTATCACGCTGAGCCGACAAACAGCTGATCAGCTGTTTGTCGGCTCAGCGCGGCAGCCATGTAAATTTAAATGAAGCGGCGATTATTTAAATCGCCGCTTCATTTTACTATGTCTGGTAGCCTAATCTACATGCCTCTGTCAACAGAGGCATGTAGTCTAGACATACCCTCTGGGTGGGGCCGAAGGCTTCGCCTTAGCGCTGCCCAGACCATGGTTCATGCTCCCCCAGCTCTCAGAACCACACAGCATGGCACTCTGGCACTCTGCATGACACTCCCTTCCTCAGCCCTCATAACCGCACAGCAGCAATTCAAAGGAGCCCAGGACTCCAGCTGCTGCACTACCAGCAACAGTAGCCAGGAGTTCCTCGTCCCTTTGAATATCCAGGCCCCTGGGAAATTGCCTCCTTTAGCATTCATTTGGTGACGTCCTTTTCACACCTTGGAATATTGCTAAATTATTCTTGCCAATTACTACTTAATTCTTGACTCATAAAGAGACTTTCTAAAGAACAATTTCTTGTGTGTGTTTTGAAACACATCAGATTGAGCCAAATGGCACGTAAGCTTGTAATTTCCCATGGTAGATGATCAACCAGTTCTATAAAAAAAGACTTTTCTTCTGCAATTGTTTTCATTAGAACATTATTGTAGGTATGTATGGTTAAAAGCCATACATAAATGTACAGTATATTGATTGACATTCTTATTGCATATTAATATTTTAGGAATTTAAGCTCCGCGGGAGAAGAGGCAAGGAAGCAGATGAGGTCTTGTGAAGGACTGGTCGATTCTTTGCTATATGTGATCCACACATGTGTGAACACATCAGATTATGACAGCAAGGTGTGTACTTACGTTAACTAAGCAATTTCTAAGTATCAGACTGCTTGTCTGATGTGGTAATTTTGTTTTGTATCGAGAAAGTTAGCTACAAAACTTCTGAGCTCTACTTATTTTTACAAAACCTTTTCCCCACGCTATTTATTTAGGATCAAAATCAAATTCTGCCGAGGAACACAAATATATTATGTGTTTTTAATTCTGACATTGATGAAGCACCTGCTCTTTGGGAAAGGGATAATAATTAGCACTTATCATGCTTTTCATCTTCAAAATTCCTTTTTAATAAATGCTTAATTAATCCTCATATAATCCCTGTGCAAGAGGCCCCTATTGTCCACAGTTTATAGTTGGGGAAATAAGAAAACAATTCTAATTTAGCCAAGGCCACAGAGTGTGCCCTTGAGAGATTGATTATTAGTATTTGGGAGTTCTTGTTCCTCAGCCCTGTGCTCCAAAAGTATTTTCACCTTGTGAAAGAATTAATTAAAAGATATCTCCATACTTTGGGTTCCAGACAGTGGAGAACTGTGTGTGCACACTGAGAAACTTGTCCTATCGCCTAGAACTGGAGGTACCTCAGGCACGGCTGCTAGGTATAAATCAGAGATTGATTATTAGTATTTGGGAGTTCTTGTTCCTCAGCCCTGTGCTCCAAAAGTATTTTCACCTTGTGAAAGAATTAATTAAAAGATATCTCCATACTTTGGGTTCCAGACAGTGGAGAACTGTGTGTGCACACTGAGAAACTTGTCCTATCGCCTAGAACTGGAGGTACCTCAGGCACGGCTGCTAGGTATAAATCAATTGGATGACTCAGACTCAGAGCCAAGCTGCTGGGGGAAAAAAAAAAAGAAGAAAAAACGGACTTCACAAGAGGATCAGGTTTGCATTTTTTTTCTATTATAAAATGTTAAGTATTGTTTTCCCAATAGTAAAAAATACTCTGTCTGGGAGAAAACTGACAATAACCAATAATATGGTGACTGTAACCAATATTTTAAATTATGATATAAATATTTTGATTTGAATTTTGCTTAAGTCAATATTACTTACAACTAATGTGTATTTATTTCTCAGTGGGATGGAGTTGGACCTATACCAGGATTTTCAAAGTCTCCTAAAGGTGTGGAAATGCTGTGGCACCCTTCGGTAGTAAAACCATATCTAACACTTCTAGCAGAAAGCTCCAACCCAGCTACTTTAGAGGGCTCTGCAGGATCTCTCCAGAATCTTTCTGCAGGGAACTGGAAGGTATCATATTAAACCCATCCCATAATCCTGTGTCAAATGAATTCCACCTCTAACTAATTCTTCTCTTTTAATAGCATCATGACACTTAAACAGGGTAAAATATGCCATTTTCTAAAGTGGCGGTTCTGTAATTCTTCTGCCAGGCCAGTCTGAACTGAGAGTCAAACTTTCCAAATTTAACAATGTCTTTGTGACGTGGACACACATTCCTTGGAATTAAGATTAATTTAGAAAGATTGCTTTTGTCCAGTTTATTTAATCTAATTATTTTCATATCCTAGTTGTCCTTGGTATTCTCTGATCTAGAGAAACAACAAAATACAGTTCAATATTTGCATTTTTGTAGTCATCTTTGTTAAACATGTTCAAAAATTATCTAATAATCACAATTGTTTTATGAAATGGAAAAGCAAATACTATTCTCATTTTACAAAAGTATAATCTGAGGAAGAGAGGTGAAACAATTTGTCAAAAATCACTTATGGTGTTAGTGTCAGATCTGAGAATGGCATTCAGGAGCTCAAAACTGCTGAGCATTGGCTTACATCTCCAACTGTACTATATCCATTATTTCATTAAGAGTATCAGTAGTTGTCATACAACATGTCACAATATAAAGTTCTTTTGGTTTTAAGGGAAAAATAAATTTACCAGTAAAAGAGGTGATGGGAAAACATTGGTAAATATTAAATACTGATGAGAGAGAGAAAATTGTATACCCTTCTCTTGGTTTCAACTCTCTTAGGGTGCATCTACCCTGCACCATAGCTCAAAATAAATTACGCAATTTGAGCTACACGTAAAGTCTACACAGCACCAAATTTCGAAATAACCCGCTATTTCAAAACATCCCTTACTCCTCATGGAATGAGGTTAATTGGGATGTCAGAATAGGAAGCCTGTTACATTTCGAAATAACGTGTTTGCTGTGAAGATGCAGGATAGTTATTTCAGGATACTCCGGTATCTTGAAATAGTGTTGCAGTGTAGACGTAGCCTTACAGTCTTCTCCATTCTACTCCTATTCACTTTCACAGTGAGAGGCAATGAAGAACTAGCAGCAGAAAATGGGTGGCGTATTCAGGTGAAATTAAAATTAATTATCACTATTTAGAAAAAATGAAAACTTGTATTTTTTCCCATTGAATACATGTGCCAAAAAAAAATTGAATACTGAATTGTCATGGAAATTACTGCCAAAAATGTGAAGACCTAAGCCAATTAAAAATGTACAAAATGATAGGTGCAAATATCACTAGTTCCCAAGTGTCAGAGGCATGGGTATTACATTACATGATGGTAGTTGATACCTAAAAATTACTTTTATGTTTTTGTCATAGAGATAAAAATATTAATTGCTTTCTTTACTATACAAAAACAGCTGACCAGATGTCATCTGGGATGTTCAGGCTTTTTACAACTTACTTTTTTAATCAGTCTTTTTTCTGAAAAATTATTCTCTCTCTGAGGGCACATCTACATGGCAACATTATGTCGAAATAACTAGTATTAGTTCAAAATAACTTAGTCCGCATTTACACAGCATGCAGTTATTTGAAATAATGTTGAAATACTGTCAAGCTGATGGACTTCTTACTCTGACTCCTGTAACTCTCATTGTACAAGGAATAAGGGAAGTCGGAGGAAGAGTGCTCTATTTCGAAATAAGTGTTGTGTTGATGCTCCCAGTAACACAACACTGGGAGTTGATGCTTCCAACTCCCAGTAAGTGTTGTGTTGATTAGCTTTCATCAGTAAGCTATTTTGAAATAAGCTACACAATTGATGTAGCTCAATTTGAATAGCTTATTTCAAGTTAAGCACTGCTGTGTATATGCACCCTAATAGATTTAATCTACTTTGTCAGCACAATTGTTCTGTCAATCCATATTTTTAAATATTGTTCTATAAGAACATTTTCAGTGGCACAGAGGGCAGACCTAACTCTCAATGTCAAGTAATGGGAACCTAGGCACCTACTTCCTGTGTCTGCCTTTGGCACATTCCAACTAAAACATATCTGAATTGTAGTATAGTAAAAGATAATATTGAAACTGTTTTAATATGGTAGATGAGTAATAGTAATTGAGTTTTGTGTTCTAGTTTGCAGCATATATTCGAGCAGCTGTCAGAAAAGAAAAAGGGCTTCCAATCCTTGTGGAACTTCTAAGAATGGATAATGATAGAGTTGTTTCTTCTGTGGCCACTGCCTTAAGGAATATGGCTTTAGATGTTCGCAATAAGGAGCTTATTGGTAAGTGTTTAACTATACTTAAGTATGCACAGATATCAGCACAAAGCAATTCCAAGAGGAAGATTCACCGTTTGAGCTAGTGTGAATTCTATTTGATATCACATCATTAGAGTGATACACATTTTAATTTTCTTGGCAGATATAGCTTTTTGGTTGTCTTATCTGTTTGTGTTTAGTTCAGGGTGATGTTTACTGGTTAACCAGTTACCTGTTCACAGACCCAAGTTGAGGTAAAGATTATTGAGAGAGATGTTAGTGAAGCAGCTTTGGCAGTATTAAGCCTTCAGATTCATAGATCCCTGATCAGTCTGGAAGACTATGCGTGTCCAGGTGTGAGGAGGTGTCACACCTGGCTTGCTTTGGGCCTGAAGGGGTTTTCCTGGCTCACCTGGCTGAGGAGGCCCCGCCTGGTGAACAAATAGAGTTTGTGTTCGTTTTATTAGACCTATGCACAGTCTTTAATCAAATACAGTTGATCATATTATAAACCTGGTCACAGGACATTAACAGGCTCTTAAGTTTGGAGCCTTTTTAAGTGTTTTCACTACTCTCCACATTGGAACATGCAGCAGGTGATTATAAGCTATGTAAGATGTGTGTGTCTGAAACATCCAGATGATGCCCAGCTGGAGTTCTCTAAGTGTAGGAGAGGCATACTATTTTTCCCTGGGGCTGCTCAACTCTGGAATGTGCCCCCCCTCCTCTGTCTACCAGAGCCTGGACTTGTTAAGCCTCCAAACATGCTGCAAAACTGATCTAGTTTTCTACAGAATTTTGGGAAGGGGATGGAATTACTGATTGGTATGGGTTAATTGTTTTGTGAGTGTTTGATTGTGATATGGGGGCGGCAGCAATGGAAGGTACGTCTATGCTTCACAAAAAGACCTGTGTCCTCAAGTCTTAGAGCTCAGGCTAACTGACTGAGGCTTGTGAGGCTTACCACATGAGGCTAAAAACAGCAGTATAGATGCACAAGGTTGGACTGGAGCTGGCGCTCTTGAGACCCACCCTTCTTGCTAGGTCTCAGAATTCAGGTTTGAGCCTGAATATCTACTCTCCTTTTTTTGGCCCCATGGCACAAGCTCAAATCAGTTGCCATGGACTCTGAAACTTCCTACCATGGGTCTTTTTTTGCAAAGTAGACAAAGCCCAATTAAAATGGATTCTTTTTTTCCCAATCCAAATAAACAAAATCAAAATAGCAATTAGAAGTAATGAAAGGCTTACAAATTTTTGTTTCTTGGAATTTGGAATAATACTTTTGCCACCTTGTTTTACTTTGTATTTCCTTAATTTTTCTGTGAAGAAATATCTATTTTAAAAAATGAAGTTAGTTTTGTTTTTGCTCTGAAAACCATATTTGTAAAAATTAATCAAGTTTCACTTTAAAATATGCTTGTTATACTTGGTACGTGTGTGTACCTAATGTTTTGCACATATGTACAAACAATATAATAAAAGCTTCCAAAAAGTAGATAGACAAGATAAACAGATGAAAGATCCAAGCACAGAAAGGGAAGTATCTGGTGGTAATCAGGTTATATATAGATTTTTTTTTAAAAAAACAAAAAAACTTCAGAAAAAACCTTGTTTGTTTTTAAATGTGGGGATATAAAGACTCTAGCAAATATCAAGGTAGATTGAATTCCATGCCCTAGCAAATATTACACCAAGCCCTGGTCTACACCTTATTTTGAAATAACAAATGGAGCATCCATGCTACCAAAACTATTATTTCAAAATAAGGGGCTAATTATTTCAAAATAGTAACTCCTGCTTTCCATGAGGAATAATGCCTTTTTCAAAATAGCACTAATGTGGATGCTCCACTGTTGCTATTTCAAAATAACTGCTCCCCAGAGTAACTCAAAGTAATTACTCCCCAGTGCTTCCTGGGGCTCCAAGTCGAGGTAGTGCATCCACATTAAGGGAGCCTGCCTCAGACTAATTTTTAGGTTTCCCTGTAGTGTGGAAACACTATGTCAAAGTTGTTGTTTTGTGAGTTATTATTTTGAAATAAGTTATTTCAAAATAATTTTCTAGTGTAGACATGCCCAAAAGTTCAACCACTTCACCTTCTGCTAAGCTCCGTCAAAGGCAGGTGAAGTCACAGTATCAATATATCTTAGGTTGTCTATTTTTTTAAAAACAGAATATCTTTTGTGGTTAAAGATCAGAATTTCTCCCAAGACTTATGCAAATACAAAGTTAATATCTTTATGTAAAATTTATCCCATTATCCATTATTTACCATTATATATAAATATATGTCTTCAATAAAAATACATTAATAGCCATTCAGTAATCAAAGCAAGCTAAACAAAAAAAATTACTTTAGCTTTAGTTAATTTCCTTTTGTTTGCAAAGTGATTATTTCTGTTTGTCAGTTGGTAATTGAAATCTGAAAGAGCTTAGATCTAATCTTTTATGGGTGATGAATGAGTTTAACAGAATGTCTGGTAAAACCTTCAAAACAGCTGAAAGGCTGTTGCAAATCTCTCTGAAACATAGCCTCGCTATGAGGACCACTGCCCCATCCCAAATACCATTTCTTTATCGAGTGGTGTCCCTGTGGGTGCTCCACTCAAGCCTCGGTGCATACCTGCACCGGGGATCAGAGATTTTTGCGAGCAGTGCCCCTCGTGCTGCGCATGCGCACTGCCTGCGCACTCAGCAGCCCCCGCCCCGCCCTCCCCCCCTCCCCGAGCCTGCGGAATGTGTGCGTGGCGTGAGTCCCGTCAGTTCCTTTTCAACCATCCCTGGCTGAAGACAGAGTTCAGAGCAGCGCTCTTCTTCCTAACAGGAAAAACAGAAATCCTCTATTAGTTTCAGGTTTTTACTCATACTTTTACTGAGTTCGACCTTTTTTAACGTTTACTTCGCTTAAAAGGGGAAGGGGGGTGGCAGCGGTCGCAGCTTTTCTTCTCCACAATAATGCCGGATTCCTCCAGCTTCAAAAATGTGATGCATGCAGAGACTCAGTGCCTACCTCAGATTGCCATGCCTTATGTGTCAAATGCCTGGGGGAGTCTCATGTGGCACAGAAGTGCTCTCATTGCCTGAATATGATGGCAAGGGCCAGAAAAGACACTGAAATGCAGCTCAAGACTGTTCACTGGAAAAAGTCTCTTCAATCACCAAGGGACAAATCAGAGGAGGTGTGGGCACAGCAAAAGCCCTTGGGTAGGGCAGCTTCATCACTCCGCAAAGGCTCTCAAGCTGCAAGTGATTCCCTGGCACGCTCCCTGTCCAAGCTGCCTAGAGCCTCTCGTTCCCCAGTGTCATCAGTCTCAGGTACCATGGAGAAATGCAAGTCAGTCCCAGCCAGGAGAGCTGAGGCACAATTAAGACCGCTACATCAATTAGTGCCACGGAGGCAGCAGCTTCAGGTAAGCCACATATGCCTCCTCCATCAGTTCTGGTGAGCTTTCCCTCACAAAATGTGGCACCTACAAAATCTCCTCAGTCTGATTTAAGCGGAGTAACTGGCTCACCATGCTCCATGGAGCAGGGGCACCCTAACACTTCAGAGTGGCCCCCACTTGCCTACACTGCTATCCCCAAGATCTGACTATGGTAGCGGGCATAGAAGCAGGCTCTCATCAGGCCACTCCTCTCCTTCTTCATCACTATCTTCCTGGCATTCATACAGGGACTGCTCCCTTCAACAACATCCCATTTGACCCAGCCAACTGTGGATGTTGCTCCCACCTCAGTGGAGCCACTAGGATACATGGTAAGGGTACCGACAGAGGTCCTCCCATACCTACCATTCAAGGCACACAGCCTCTACATCCCAGCAACACTGCACCTCTAGGCGCTCACCCACAATCTTTGCATGCTCCTCACCTGCTCACCCGCCCTCAGTAATTTTTAAGCGGGTTTCAGTGAGCATGACAATTTACCTGAGTCAGATTCAGAGAGTTCTTCACATGAACCCAGGTCCAGGCAGGAGGAAGCAGTATTCCAGATGTCCTCCTCCGGCAGACATTTTCAGGAATTTTTCAAACGGGTAGCACAATCACAAGACATTACATTACAAGAGGTGCAAGACAAACAATACAAATTACTCACCATATTACAACCCTCAGCTTCCTCAAAGACAACTTTACCCATTAACAAAGCTATCCTTGAACCTTCGGATGCGTTGTGGCAAAATCCAGCCTCTGTTCCTCCCACAAACCACAGAGAGGACAGAAAATATTTTGTCCCTGCGATGGCCATGGACTTTCTATTTACCCATTCACAGCCAAATTCGCTGGTGGTGGACTCTGTGAAACACAGGTTGAATCAACACCCCATGACAAAGAACACAAACAGCTAGACACCTCAGGCTGCAAAGTATACTCTTCAGCCACTTCAGTGCTGTATATCTAATTATACAGCACTGTTGACTAATTACGATTATGCCAAGTTACAAGACTTGCTACAGGACCTCCCTGAAAACAAGTGACCTCATCTCCAATCCATCAGTAAAGAGGGTTTGTCAATAGCTAAAACAGCTCTTCAGGCCACTATGGATGTCGCAGACACTGCAGCTAGAGCCAAAGCCATAGTAATGCGCAGGGCCTCGTGACTGCAGTCATCAGGGCTCCCAAAGGAATTACAAGCAAGGGTGGAGGATCTCCCCTTTGACTTGAAACAATTGTTTGCTAAAAATACAGATGAGATCCTATGCTCTATGAAGGACTCTCATATGTCACTATGCACCTTGGACATGTACACTCCTAATAAGAAGCGTAAATACACTTTTTACCAAAAGCTGAGGGATTATAATTACAACTATTATAGGCAGCAGCAGAGGCCCAAGCAATGCCCTAATAGGAGGAGGAATCAGCAAAACCAGTCCTCCACGAATCAGTCCACCTCTAACAAGCAGGACTAGGCAAGGACTCAGGCAGGACTAGGCAAGAGGTCAGAAGGGGACACCTTCACCATCCACTGGACAGCTCCCCTACTTTATGCCTTTCCAACAATCCCACTTATCGCCAGAGTGATCAACAAGATCCAATCTGATCGGGCCACAGTAATGTTAATAGCCCCAGCCTGGCCAAGACAGCCCTGGTTCCCTTACCTACACTACTTGTCGATAGATCGACCAATCCCTGTCCCAGTAGTGCCAAATCTTCTCACACAGCACTACGGCAGTATATGTCACCTCAGTATCAAAACCATGAAACACACGGAATGGTTTATCCATGGGTCCAGAATGAAGAACTCACCTATTCAGACAGGGTTAAACAAGTTCTTATAAACAGTCAGCATCCCTCCACGAGAAGCATCTATGAAAACAAGTGGACACATTTTCAACAATGGTGCACGATGTGCAATTTGCATCCCACCACAGTCCCCATACCTACCTTACTCAACTACCTCATGGACCTTAGCGACACATGCCTGTCCATCAGCTCCGTCCAGGTCCACCAGGCAGCGATCACGGCCTTCCATGATCCGGTAGACGGCTTCTCTCTCTTCACACATCACATGGTGAAGCGTTTTCTCACAGGTTTACAGAAAATGCATCCAAACCTCCACCCCCGGGTGCCACCGTGGAACTTGAATTTGGTCCTTGACACTCTCACCAGGCCACCCTTTGAGCCATTAGCCACTATGTCACCAGAATACCTGTCTATGAAGGTGTCATTCATAGTGACAATAACATCAGCAAGAAGGTTAGGAGAAATCACAGCCCTCATGGCACTCTCCTTTTACTATATTTACCAGGGATAAAGTCTACTCAGACCTCACCCAGAGGTTATATCCAACTTCCATGTAAATGAACCCGTTTACTTACCTGCCTATTTCCCTAAACCTCATGCTTCCCCCAAGGAGGCTATATTACATACGCTGGATGCAAGGAGGGCAATTGTGTTCTACCTTGATAGAACTAGAGAAATCAGACAGGCTCTTTGTTGCATGGTCAGGACCATGCACAGGAATAGCAGTTTCAGCACAGCGCCTATCCAAGTGGATTGCAGGGTGCATACGTACCATTTATGACCTTACGGGCAGACAGCCACCGCAGCCCATTAGGGCTCATTCTACATGTGCAATAGTCACTACAATGGCCTTCCTGAACAATGTACCGTTGGCAGATATTTGTAGAGCAGCCACGTGGTCCTCACACTATACTTTCGCACAGCACTATACCCAACACATCTCTAGCAGATGCAGTCCTTCCTCATTCCATTTAGAGAGACTCCAATGCCCACCTCCATTGGGCGGGTACTACTATGGAATCACCTGAGTGGAGCACCCACAGGAAAACCACACAATTGAAGAAGAAATTACTCACCCTGTTCAGTAACGATAGTTCTTTGAGATGTGTGTCCCTGCGGGTGCTCCACTACCTTACCATCTTCCCTTCTGCTTAAAGTCTAAAGGGACTTCAGGTAGACAAGGAACAGATGGGACTCGCACCACGCACACATTCCACAAGCTTAGGGGGAAGTGGGCCGCTGAGTGCGCAGGTGTGGTGCGAGGGGCACTGCTTGCAAAAATCTCAGATCCCCGGCGCAGGCATGTACCAAGACCTGAGTGGAACACCCTCAGGGACACACATCTCGAAGAACTATCGTTCCTGCACAGGGTGAGTAGCTTCTTCTTTTCCTGTAGCAGTTTTACTTCCCATCAAAAATTCCTATTTTTAGTATTAATGTTAAATTGTCTTGTATCCCACTTTATTTAACCAAATTCATTATTGCATCTTCTTCTACTTGAATGAGACAGCAACTAACCTACAGTGACTACAAACATAGCTAAACAGTTTTATTCTGCTATTTTCTGGCAAAGTAGTTTGTGTCTCCCTAAAGGCATAAAGAATTTCAAATGATGGTAATATTATGTCAACTAAAGCACAACTTGCATTAGGGGAAAAGGTAAGTGATAGTAAACTCCAACATTTTCTCAACTTTTTGTTCCTTAATTCAATTTTTTTAACATATCAGAACCAGAAGTAATGAAATATGATCATGCAATAGCAAACTATCAATTCAAGTCCTACCTAAAGAAGACTGGAATATAAAACTTACACATTTCTATACAATTTTAGTTGTTTGTAAGATACTTAGTAACCTTATTGTAACATTGCTTCTCTCTTGCTATAAAATTGCTCTACTAAATATCCTTAACTACAGTCAATAAGGTAACAGATCAGTATATGTCTGTGTACATTGACACACAGCCATATTTTTAATCAGTCTTTTCCTAATCCAGAAGAAAAATGCTATGTATTTATTTAGTCAGTTACTTTACGGTGTTTCATGTCTCTGTGTGCGATCTGAATTATTTTTGTTTTCCACTTAGTATTGATTTTTTTTATTCAACTTTCCTCATTGTTGCTTTTTAACTTACATAATTCTTTCAGAATCCTTATATTTCAAATATAAGTTGCAAAGTACATTTCCTAACTTGATTTATGGATTTTTGTAGGTAAATACGCAATGCGAGATCTGGTGAATCGCCTTCCAGGAGGCAGTGGCCCAAGTATATTGTCTGATGACACTGTAGCAGCAATCTGCTGTGCTTTGCATGAGGTCACCAGTAAAAACATGGAAAATGCCAAAGCTCTGGCTGACACCGGAGGAATAGAAAAACTGGTGAACATAACAAAAGGAAGGGGTGACAGGCAAGTGGACAGCTAGATTTGCAAGTAAAATGTTACTTCAATCCGTTTCAGATAAAAACAAGAAAACAAACTTATAAAGTGAATTTCCTGCAGAAAAAGTTTTTTTTTTCTTTTAGTCAAAGTTTGCTGATAAGATGAGCAGTCTCTCACAGCTGTAAACTGTTAGGCAAGAAAGAGGCCCTGTTTTGCATCTACTCCATTTTGTATTATTTCCAAACAGTACCAACCAATCATTAACATTGTACAGTATTCTCTAAAATGTCTATGAGCTGTACAATAATATACTGCATGTAGAAGATAAAAATATCTGAAAATGCTGTCATGTATATATTAAACATTCACAAAAAGGTTAATAGAACAGTAGTAAGATTGAAAGTCAGGCAGAAGTTAGGAAATACCAGATTTATGATTGTGGAACACTAATCTGACCCCCTTGTGCGTATCATTATGATAAAGTCTTTAATTGTATATGGTCACATGTTATTTTTTCCACCATATCCCTGCCTCAATCCATGCACAGCATGGAAGTTGCTCACTTAATGAGCAAATCTTTGATATTTTGTTTTCTTCTCATTGTTCATTGTTTGTTGCTGGGTCTTGCTGCATAATACCCAAATCCTTCTCTGAACATAGAATTCTTAATTTCTTCATTGACTTTTCTTTGGTGCTCATCACAGTAGTATCTGAGTTCTTCCTAATCATTTTTTTAGTAGCCCTGTGAAGTAAGGGGCTGTTATCCACATTTTTACAGCTGAGGAACTAAGGCAAGGAAAGATGAAGGCCAACAGTATCCATTGATTTTTTTGGGTGCCTAATATGAAATGCTTAGAACCTAATGATTTGGGGTACTTACCGTTACATAGCACTTTATATGCTCAAAGCCCAACTCCTATTACCTTCATTTGCAGTTGTGAATACCCAGTACCTTTGTAAATCAGACTCCTAAGGGTATCAAATTGGGCAGCTAGAAAACGTGTGCTGCACATGGGCTGTGTATTATAGGCCGTGGAAGCCGATGCCTTCCCAAACTGCCTCACATGGCTCCACTCGTGCTCCATTGAAGTCCCCCAGACTCACTCCTCCATCCTGCTGTTCTAGCACCAGAGGCTGGCGCAGGCAGGCTGGGAGCCACACTGGCTATTCCCCTGTGGCCCGTGGCTCAGCTACAGGAAGGGGAGGAGTCCTTGATTCAGAGTGTGGCCGACACAGCCCAGAGTGATTGGGGCCACAGCCACGGTATCCCTGGCTGGTGGTGCTACCCTGAGTCAGGAGGCAACAACCAGCTGCCACAGTGGAGTGGAGCTGGGCTCTGATGGACACAAAATGGGCAGAATGACCAGTGCTGGGCAGAGGGGGAAGGGGGAGGAATGGGACATTTTTCCTGTGGATTTCACATATGTATTTGCTGAAAATAGGAATGGGTAAGTCCATTCCAGGCTATGGAGGAGACAGTGATCTGGTAGGCATAGACACTATCATTTCCTCCAAGCTTTTCCCCTTTTGCCCCATCCTCTCCAGTCTGTCCCAGTCTTGTTTCTACCTCACTACTGGTTCCTTGTCTCCTTTCCTTCTCCTTTGCATGGCTTCTTATCCACATTCCAGTCTCTTTGACCAGTCAGTCCATGTTCCCTACTCTGGCTTGTCAAATCTACAGCTCACATCTCCTCGCCTCCCTGCTGACATCCAGTCCCAGGCTATCTTCCCAGGTTTCTCATCCAATCTCAGTCTCTTCCCAGGGCTCCTTATCCCAGTCTCTTTGACCATTCAGTCACAGTTCCCTCTATCCCATGCCTAAATCCTAGCTCCTCCACCTTCAAATAAGTGCAGCTGTATATTCCACTTAGGCAGGAATGGGCAATCGATTTTGCAGGGGACCAGTCCAAGATCATGGGCCACACTTTTCTACTATATTAATGGAGGGAGTGTGGGGCCTGGAACTGAGTTTGGGTATAGGAGAGAGTCTGGGAGGGACGTTGGGTGCAGAAAGGGGTTCTGACCTGAGGTACATTTGTTGGCTATGGAAGGGGGTGCCAAGTGCAGGCAGTGGAGCCAACAGCCTCCACGAGCCCCTGGGCAAGGTAAATGGGTGGGGCCAAGGGCAGAAGGCACAAGGCAGAGTACAGCTGGCCCTCAGTGCTCGCTGCCTGGAAAACAGCATGCCCCTCCCCAGTCCTTAGCAGTGCCTGGAGCATGTGGCACTCTTGCAGCAATTTAAAGGGCCCAGGACTGATTCTTCTGCAATAGCATCAGCTGGAGCCCTGGGCCCCTTTGCTTACCCCTGCCCCCAAGCAGTTGGCAAGCCTGGGTGCACGCTCTGCCCAGGCAACTCCTGACTAGCATACCATTGGACCTTCAGGCAAGCTGCCAGCTGGCTGCTGGAGCAAGTGTTCCCCTTAAGGGGTTGGAGTCAGCAAGTCTCCATGCACTGCCCACCCCTCCCCCAAGGACCGCCTGCCTGAGCACCCTGCTGGGCTGCAGAACTTTAGAGTCCTGGAGAATTATGGAAGGCCTGATCTAGCCTATGGGCCACATTTTGCCCCCCTCTGTACTTAGGAGTGTTAACAACGGAGCTGGAGAATTATGCCTAGTGGTATCTGCAATGGGGAGGCACTTGGGCCTTGTACCCTAGCACCTCCTTTGGCTGCATGAGGCAAAGCCTCTCTGACTTCCCTCTCTTACTACTTCTGCCCTGCTAGAGTCAGAGTGCTGTGTGATGTTTACCTCATAAGCTCTATTTTTAGTGACTTTTTCAGTTGTATATAGTTAATTAATACTCTTAGAAGCGTGTTAATTAGATTTAGAATTTCCCTGCTGCACCTCCCAATACCCAGCTTAACAATACTATGTGCCACAAAAGAACAAAACAAAGTTCTCAAGCTGCAAACCAACTAGCCAGCAATCTTTCTCATCCCAGCCACCCACATCTTAGCATCAATTTTGATGTGTTGGTCAAAGTGCCAGCAGACTACTCCCTGAAACTGCTACTGCCAGTCATTGCTATCCCTCCGTTTGCTCATCATCTGGCATGGTTCCACAGCACAAAGGAGGACATAACATCAAACAGAGGGTCCTGGAAATGATTCACCATGAATACTCGGTTCATTTTATCCCTGCTCCAACCTGCCCCAATACCCTTCCCTATCTCCTTTCTCGCAAGAGTTCACTACAACAAGAGGTAAACCATATCCTCCAGTTAGAGGCCATAAAACTAGTAACTCAAAATTGACAAGGCAAAGGATTCTTTATATTTCCTAATAGTCAAGAGAAAGGAGAGTTGGAGACAGATTAGACCTCAGAAATCAACCCTCAGGTTTATAGAACCTGACCTTGACTCTCTATCCCTAACCCTGCCCCAGATCCAAACCCTTCTATCTCAACACATATTTCTCTTTGATTACACTCTGAGACCATTCAGAATAGCCCACAAATATCAGCTGGACTCTGCTTGCAACTCGTAAAGCATACGACAGTAGCAAAGTGGTAATTCCTCACATATAGTGCCTTCAGATGTGTTGTTTCTCACCCCCAATATATTGCTCATAGGATGAGGTGCATATAAACTTTATGATGAAGGAAAATGGTCACCTGTGGAGATGTCCTTCAGCATCAATCTTCTCAAGCTCAGGGCAGTCAGGAATGCTTGCACTCGCTTCCTCCCTCTGATCACACTCAAAAGACCTAACAGACAGTGTAGCCTGTATGTACTCATAGACGCATAGACTTTAAGGTCAGATGGGACCATTATGATCTAGTCTGACCCCTTGCACAGTGCAGGCCACAGAATCTCACCCACCCCTCCTAGAATAATCCTCTCACCTATATCTCAGATTTTGAAGCCTTCAAATACTTTGAAGACCCCAAGATGCAGAGAATCCTCCAGCTGTAATCTGTACCCCATGCTACAGAGGAAGGCGAAAAACTGCCAGGGCCTCTGCCATTCTACCCTGGAGGAAAATTCCTTCCCGGCCCCAAATATGGCGATCAGCTAAACCCTGAGCATGTGGGCAAGACTCATCAGCCAGACACCCAGAAAGTTCTCTATAGTGACTCCTATCATCCCTCCATTGACCTATTTCCCACTGATGATGAATGGTCAATTAGTTACCAAGATCATGTTATCTCATCAAACCATCCCCTTCAATCTAGTTTAATCTTGACACCAGATAGATCTTTTGCCCCCACTACTTCCCTTGGAAGGCCGTTCCAGAACCTCACTCCTCTAATGGTTAGAAACCTTCATCTAATCTCAAGTCTAAACTTCCTACTAGCCATCTTATATCCATTTTTTCTTGTGTCCACATTGGTATTAAGCTTAAATAATTCCTCTCTCTCCCTGGTATTTATCCCTCTAATATATTTAAAGAGTGCAATCATGTCCCCCCTCAGCCTTCTTGTTGTTAAGGTAAACAAGCTCCTTGAGTCTCCTTTCATAAGACAGGTTTTCCATTCCTCGGATCATCCTAGTGGCCCTTCTTTGTACCTGTTCCAGTTTGAATTCATCCTTCTTAAACATGGGAGACCAGAACTGCACACAGTATTCCAAATGGGGGTCTCACCAATGCCTTGTATAATGGCACTAACACCTCCTTATCCCTACTGGAAATACCTCGCCTAATACATCCCAAGACCATATTAGCCTTTTTCAC